GAAATTGAAAACTGAGATATATATCAGTCACCTCAAAAAATCGAGTCTGCTCATTTTATGTATTTGCTCATGGATAGAGGCATTTAACCACATGATTTAAAACGCCTTTGCTTGGATCAACTCAAAGATAGGGTTCTGCTTTAGATGCGCTGTAGGGGATTAAATTGCTTGGAACCGTGATATTCTTCAGTTGTGCTACAGGTCACCCAGAAATAAGAAAATGGGCAGCTTATTATCACACAATTTTATGTGATAAATAAATTGTTATATATTTTGTGCGTAGTAATATCTGACAAGATATTTTGCCATGAAGCTACAGATTTGAAAACAACCACCATTCTTGACGCCGTATCGATTCTTACGGTTTTCCAGTTAATCTTATCAGTAGATTGAGAATCCCTTTACTGTGATAAGGTATCAGATTAATAACAATTCAAAACTTCAAGCGTAGACGGTTCGATTTGCCGTTATGGAAACAACGAATATTCATAAAGCTAAATGCCGCTGATGGAGTGTGCTTCTCATGTACCACAACAGGAATTACACCATTTACTGATGGTCACATTGAACAAGCAGCTAGCGGTAGGTGAAGGCGAATTGCAGCCCTAAGAGGCGATCGCATCAAACAGCATGACCGTGCTTTCCGCCCACCGTGGTTTGGTCACACCAAAAAGCCATGCCTTCCAGTGGGTGTAGTCAGCCATGCAGAAACAAACGATTTAATGATACACAAAACGGGGTATCAGTTTGTCGAGTGACAGTGCTACCGATCCTTTGGCTTGATACAGGCCAGCTGCAGACAACAAAATCTACGTCAGCAAATGATGACCAGTCTTACTGTGATGGAAGCCGGTGCGATACGATCATGCCGATGATAGCAGTCGATCATCCCGTAGGCTGAGCCATTGGCGTTATGCAAAATTAAACCGTTTCACACGTTGTCTCACTGTAGAACTTTGAACCATATTTGAACCTCTATAAGTGCATCTGGTCCTCATTTCATTGAGTTGACGGCAGGTTGATGGCATGGCATGTTGCGCTACCTTCTCCAGTTTGGTGCACCTCATGTGAATGGTGCTAATTTCTTTCCTTTCTCAATTATCCTTGTTTCAGCATAGTTTCAATCTTCCCTTTGACATAATTTGGTTATAAACATTCTCCTACACAGAGGCAGATAGGGTAAAGAGCATTGTAAATACATTTTTTCACGCTATCTTCCTTTATTGAAATAGTTAATCATTTCTATCGTTTCTTATGAGTTTGTAAGTAGAAATCTTTCTTTTAGATAGGTATGTTTCATGGATGTGCCATTCCCTATTTAGATGGTGATGACGCACCATAAGGGTTTTCCAAAGGTAGCAGAAAGAATATATTTCGTTTCATACTTCCTAGCAGTGACAACCCGTTAGGTCATTTGTCACTATGAGAGCTCACCGATCAGATGCCAAGGACAACCTTCTGAAAAGATCTCGTCAGCAAGCGAATTGCACGTTATTGTACGTTAAAAGATATTTCAACGTTTAAAGTTCTTTATAAAAGTAATGATATCTGAGAACTAACCTGTAAAATGGTGAAGTTTTCAAGGACACTGTTCATCATGTACCGTTCAGGAAGTTTCTTCAGCTTATGGATGAAGTTATTCATGTACTCACACATGGGCGACTGGCAGATTCGATAGATGAAACGACCGTTTTCGAACTTTGGATACTCGTGCTAAACATATATGTAT